CCCCGCCCACGGCCCCCACCTCCCACACCTGCTGCCTCTGCCGGCGTGGACCCCGGCCCAGCGCCCCGCCGGGCAGCCACGTCCCCCGGGACCGGGACCAGCCCCGCGGGCTGTCCGTCCACACCACAGGTGTCCCCGCGGGACCTGGGCCGCGGGGAGGGCGGCGCGAGATTCGGCGGGGATCTGGATGCGGACCCGGCTTTGGAAACATTTCTCGCTTTTCAGCTAAACTCCTAAGACAACTGGGGAGGCGCCGAGCTCAGTACTTTTTCTGCCTATCTAAGGAGCTCCCGGGTCCGATGCTTATCCCTGGGCTGTGGGCGTTCAGTCATTCCGAATTTAAGAAAGTACCTCCCCCACGAAAACTAAAACCTCTCCTGAGGCTTTTGGTGTGGGTTGCTTAACTTCCTTATAATATGTAAGTAAATTAGATGTCCCAGACTGATTGTGAGTAGCATTTCCCCGGAATTGAAAAATCATTCCGATTCTTTATTCAGGCCTCTTGCAAATTCCCCTTGCTTTGTTACTGAAATTACCGGGGTTTTGATACATCTACGTAGAAGAACCTAAAAACAAACTCATTTTATTCCTATCCTATCAAAATTCTTTAAAAGCCCATTGGTCTCAAAATAATAAAATATAAAGCAGAATTATTGTATCTGAGCATTTGTGTGAAGGCAACAGCAAGGCTTTGGGGGCTTTTTGTTTTGTTTTCTTTTTTTGCTTTAATTTAAGACATATCTGAGCAATTGAAAACGAATTAAGACGCATTCTCCAAAGCAGAATATATTTCACCCTTTTCACTTTTTTTGTTTTGGATAAAAATTAAATTAGTGAATTAGGACTGAAACTGGGAATCCTGAACACCTAATGTTTTTATCTTTTTTCAAACCTTTTGACACTTGTGAAATTTTAATATCCAGACTGCACACGTACCAAAGCCTCTCATTTCCGCACAGGACACACTACAGCGTCTTCTCTCCTCCTAATAAAAGTATATTAAAGGCATACTTCATACTACAATTTGCAAAGCAGGGCTGTGGTTGGATGGATGACCGAAGCTGCTGGAATAGTGTGTGTGTGTGTGTGTGTGTGTGTGTGTGTGTGTGTATGTGTGTGTGTGTGATGTCACCACCTTAAAAGCCAGGCTTTCAAACTTAATAGCCAACTAGTGGAATTGGCTTGCAGAAATGTGATAGGTGTAACGTACTGTCACTGGTAGGCTAACATGTCAGTCTTACCTATAATTGATTTCTGGAGAAGTATCTTAACCCAAAAAGTGACTCCAGTGATTGTTTTTCAAGAGCTGGGTTTGAACCCAGGCATGGCCTGAAGCACTGGGCAAGCCCTCTACTGCTGAGCTACACACCTAGCCCTTTGTAATTATTTATTTTGAGACAGGGTCTAGGTAATTGCCCAGGCTTGTCTCAGACTTGCAGTCCTCCGCCTCAGCCTCCCCAGTAGCGGGGATTACAGGCATGTGTCACCTTACCTGCTAATGATAGATTGTTATAGACAGCAAAGTACCCCCCCAGTCACCCTTACCTCACTTTGCTAAAAAGTACAGCCCTGCCCACTCCTCCTTGTCTGAGTCGCGTTCGTCCCAAGCTGAAAGCAGTCTCAGCGCCGTCCAGGACAGCAGAGAGACGCGGACTAAGAGCCCAAGACCCCAAAGTGACAAAGGGGAGAAGTGCCAGGGACCCTGCTCCGTGCTGCACTGCGCCTCCCGTGGCGTCTCCCTCCTGTTCACTTCTGTGATGAATTTGGGATTAACTCAAAGTGGAGAGGGTCCTGGATTCATGATGGCTCCACTTACAGTTCTTCAGCTTTACCATGGTGAAAAAGCAATACACATTCAGCAGAAATCAGACTTAATTTTGTGGAAGCTGGCAGTCAGCCACGCAACTGCAAGGGTGAGCGCTTGAGTACATGTTGCTAAATTATGGTGTATTCATTGTGTTTCAATTTACAATATCCGAAGTTTACAGTGCCCTGATTAGATGCAACTCCTTTGTAAGTCAAGGAGCATCTGTGTGAGATACCTCAAGTTTTCTCAAGTATGAACCAATAAGTGAATTTTTTTAATTAGACAATTCCTTCACAGCCCCCTCACTTCCTGTATTACAGGAAAATTGTAAGAGTGATGTCAGAGAGAGGTTCACACTGATATGCCAGCCCATCAAGCCTGCTGCCTTTCTCTCTCTCTTTTTTTGTTTCTCTCTCTCTCAAGATGTAAAACACTCATCTTGGTTAATAAAGAGGCCCAAAGGAAATGGGATTTAATTCTTTTCTTTAGATTCTGATTATTTTTAAAGGGGAGTAATTAGAGGAATCATACCTTCTAAGACACCCTTGGTCTGCTCAGAGCAACTGGAAGCATAAATTGTCACAGAAATGCCTCTCTGAGGTCCATGCAGATTAAGTTGCTCATGCAGGTTAAAGGATCACATTCCTGAAAGAGAGTAGGGCCAACTAAAAAATAAATCAAGAGCAAGAAGATATTTTAATAAAACAAGTTTCAAGTAATTTCAGACTAAGATTCTTTGCTTGGCCAAACTTTGGTCAGAATTCTTAGCCTTCTTTTAGACCTTTGAAAAAGGAATATTCCTTGTAAAACCCGGTTTTACCAAGGAACTCTGATAAGTCCGTTTGGCGATGACCCTCCACCCTCGCCATCACTATCTTATGCTCCGTTTCCCTCAGGTGGTAGCTGACCACCCTGCCTGTCTCAGCAAGAATTCTGTTAGGTCAGTTTATCCTCCCATCCCTGGCATACGTTTGTTTCCTTCCTTCCTTCCTTCCTTCCTTCAGTATTAGGGTTTGAACCTGAGGAACACTGAGCTATATCTTCAGTCTTTTCTATTTTTTGATTTTGGAACAGAATCTTGCAAATTTAGGGACAGGAAGATATTTTAATAAAACAAATTTTAAGTAACTTCAGACAAAGACTTGAAACCCTAGTGTGTGATACTGGGATCAAAAGTGTGTGGTAACTAAATTGATTTAGCATCGTTCTGAGTGTGGATAATGGAGGCCCAGTTGGGGGTGTGGCCAAAGGAGTGTCTGAGGCCCAGACTGGTGACATCAGAAGCTGAGGTGGCTGCTGTAGTCCCAGAGGAAAAGAGACAATCTTCATGTGGGAAAACTGACTTCTTCTTCTGTCAGCTCTCTCTGTAGCATCTGCACAGAATTAGAAGTAAAGAGCCCTAGAAATTATGTGTAAGTTTGCATCTTTGGTCACTCAATCAACTTTGTCAGCATATTACTGCAAGATGAAAGCACACATGGGTACTGTCATAGTTACTTTTCTCCTTGCTGGGACAAAATACTAGGCACTCAAAGTTGAAGGAGGAAAGGTTTATTTAGCTCACAATATGTAAAGGTGTAAGTCTAGTTAACTGGTTCCCAGGCAGGGCAGCACGGCAGAGGGGCATTGCAGAGGAGAAACAGTGCATGGCAGGGCAGGCAGGAAGCAGCAACAGCAGCCTGCCTTCTACCTTTCCCCATCCAGGGGTCATTGCCACATATTCCCTGGGTGGGGTTTCCGTTACCCACACCCAGAACTACGCTAAATCAATTTAGTTACATGCACCGTTGACCCCAGTATCACACAACATCCAGCCAGCTCTGAAAAGTTCCACTTGTGACGACATGAGGCTTTGGAGGGACATCTAGATACAGACCATAACAGGTGCCTTGCAATAAAGCAGGCTGCAGAGAGGAATAGTATCTTTTTTCTCCTACCTTTATGCTTCTTGCTGGGTCTCTGTAACAAAAGATAGATTAACAAGATACAGGAAACTCCCTGAGGAGATAAAGACCTGAAGAAACAGGTGCCCTGACTGTTTTCATACATGACTTGATGGTGAGTAGCAAATTACAGACATGGGACACAAAAGGGGAAGAACTAGTTATGGTAAACTGGGGGGACTTTGCAAGACCTGCTCATCAAGCTTCCTTCTTGTGTCTGTCATCTTACGAGATTACAGTGTTCCTTTCCCCCAGATATAGGGCAGGCCATGCTGGCTGCCAGTTTGGATCCAGTGTCCCCCAGAGGAATGTGAAAAACGCTGCTCCTCAGAGTAACACTACTGGGAGGGGGCCGAGCCATTAGGATGTGGGGCCTAGTGGAAAGGTTAAGGTCCCTGGGATGGACCCTCAAAGGAATAGTGAGACCACCCCCTCCAGCTCTGGCTCTTCCTCTCTTTGGCTTCCTGTCCCTGAGGAGCACAGTTCTGCTCCTCTTCCTTCTCCTCTTTGTCCTCTTCCTCTTCTTCCTCCTCTCCTTCCATCCTCTTCTCCGCCCACCCCCCTCAGTTTGTTCCTCCTCCTGGTGCTTGCACCATGACAGGGTGCCTCACCACAGGCCCAAAGCAGTGTGGTCCACTGAGCACAGGATGAACCCCTGAAAACCATGAGCCAAAAAAAATTTTCCTCTTTAATGTTGATTATCTCAGATATTTATTAAAGGGACGAAAATCTTACTCATACATTGGTCTTACGATTTGCTTCAGGGGAAAGTCAGAAAGTCCTTTCCACAGCTCCCACTTCTTGAATTCCTTCATCTTAAAATACTCAATATTCAAAGGGCTGTGTTTGGGTATAGTATGGTCTGAAACCTACGGACAAAAAGAACTTGCTAGAATTCTCCAAAGAGTTTCAAATCTCTGGATGAAAACCACAACATTACAAAGTAAATATCTACAGTTTTAGAAATTAAATTTTAGCATTATTATGCAAACAGAAAAGGACACTATTTTCACATCAATGGAACTTTAATTGCATACTTCTTATTCTACATCTAATTACATATAAGTCAAAAATCTACTTTTGGTTTCTCATACAATCTCCACAATTTACATGAAATGTCAGAGAAAGCACTAAAATGCCATTGTATAAATTTGCATTTAAAATTAAACTCAAGCACACACAAACAGATTTGTATGAAGAGTTAATTTTTTTTTTTTGGAAAAGTATCCATCTGATTCATGAGTTCTAGATGTGCTTTGTATATGGAATTAATTTATCATTTAACCCAATGTTGCCATAACCTACAAAATACTCTAGTAGCAACTAGTAACAGGCTGGATTGACAGAATGATCCCTCTCAATATCAAAGAATACGAAATGATGTCCTTCTTCATAGTGTGTGTTAATTTCCACAGTGTCAACATTCTCGCCATGGTTGACATCATGCTGCCGAGTGAGATCACTGGAGCCAGCAAAGGAGGGGTCCACAGTTGCAGTGTTCTTACCGGGTGTATACAGATGGAGTAAACGAGATCAAGAGCATCTTAATAGCACAATCATTATACACTGGTGAGCTTCTTATCTTTATAGTAATCTAATTTATATAATTGTTAGTTTATATAAATTAATATTTTATAGTGGCTTTGCTTAATCATTGGATGACAAGATTTGAAAGAGTTTAACAAATCAGTTTTTGTGAACCAGAGTGAGTTGACCCCAGCGCAATACCAAAGGAAATAAGATTGTCCAATATTGGCATTCTGACTTTGAATTTGGGTGATAAATATGGGGGAGAGGTCATTATACTTGTGGAGGGGGATTAACCTTTCCAGAGATGTCCAGCCTTGGCCCTCAGCTGATGGAGAGCAGCCTCTGGGTCCCTAGATCGTAGGCCACAGAGGAGTGTGTGCTTGTGGGGCTTTGGGTGAGAGCACAGACTGATGTGGTGATTTACGCTGGTGACTCTGGGCACACAGCATCAGTTCTGTCCTCCAGGGAAACTGGAGACTAAAGGTGTGATGGAGACCAGAATATGCCACATCAGAATACACCTCTTTGGCATCAGAGTTGCTTTGAGCTGAAAGCTCTCTAAGTTCCTTTCTCTCTAGCGGCAGGACATAAATTCCCATTTACACAGGTGTGGCCTTCTCACCAGGAGGACTAACCCAGAGACCGCGCTGACTCTTATCTGCATAACAGACCTTTCTAAACAACCACTTCTTCCCTTCCTTTATTTAATTTAGCTCCCACCTCAGAAGCAAATAATTCCTTTTCCTTTTTGTACTTTAAAATGGCGGGCTGGGCTCAGCGGTGCACCTCTGTAATCTCAGCACTTGGGAGGCTGAGGCAGGCGGTGCACTGAGAGTTGGAACCCAGACTGAACTACATAGTGAGATCCTGTCTCAAAACAAACAAACAAAAAAAGATGCTATGTAGGCCCCCAAATGTAAGTGCCTCCTTGAGTTGAGTCACAATTCTTTGGGAACTCCCCTGTGTATATTTGTAATTAAATCTGCTTTTCCTTGTTGATCTTTTTCAGTTTATTTTGCAGAATTCCCTGTTACTGAGTCGACGGGGGCAGAGGAGCAACATTTCCTTCTATCCAGGCATTACCCTGACCTCTGGGTTCCAGAGATGAGATTAGCCATTCAGGTGGTATGTAATGGCCCGCCTAAAAGCCCTGAATACCAAAAACATGGACTGCTTCTGTGTCTGGCAGCAGCCCCTGCACATGCCATATGTGGAGAGTGACGTGTTCCTACAGAAGGGCATGTGCTGGCTCATACAAGAGGCGGTAGGAAGCCTGTGTCTGGTGCTTCTGTGTGCGTTCTTCCTTGGCTGAGCTTCGCCTGTGCCCTTCCCTGTAACGAGCTGTAGCTGCCAGGAGAACAGTTTTCAAGGAATTCTGTGACCCCTTTTGGCAAATTCCTGAAACTGAGGTGGTCTGGGGACCTCCCAGCACACACAGAACTTGCAAATGTGAGAAGAACTTGTGGGCACCATGTCCTCAACACTCCTCGCTAAAGTTTTCCTGTTTGTAAAATTTTCTATGAGGGTTTAAAAAAAAAGGATAATTACTCCCCCCACCCAAATAGGAGCAGCAATAGCTACACCAAAGCTATAATGTTAAACACTTGTGTCTTTTTCCCCACTTAGAGTCCACAGGAAAGTCTCCCAAAGCAAACAAACTCCAAAAATTAAGTTAAAAAATTGCAAAACCCAAAAAGCAGCCATGCGGGAGAGCTACTTATGTGATTACAGGTTTGCAGATGAGGAAGCTCCATGCTATGGCCATATGAGAAAAAAGCAGATAACAAGGAAAGGCTAAACTTCTGGTTGGTCTATGTAAAATATTCACCACATTCATCAGTATCAAGTGTTTTATTTATTTATTTTTTTTTTTTGTGGTACCGAGGATCAAACTCATGACCTTGCGTTCGCCAGGCAAGCGCTTATGCCACTGAGCTATATCCCCAGCCCAGTACCAAGTGTTTTACCTTCTGTGCAGTATAACACCACTTTGTTTTAATGTGGTTAATATCACACTTCTTTACATTTTGTTAAATTATAAAAAATGATCTTGTTAGGCAATTCACCACCTCATAAATGGTCCTGCCCTGGCCCCACCCATAGCAGATTCAGCCACATCATTTGTGAAGCCCAGTATAAAGTTAAAATGAGGGGCACTGTATTCCAGAATCACTGAGAATGTCAAGGTATGATGGCAGATGACCGAGTAGAGCTGTCCTGCAGGGTGCTGAGAATGAAGTCCTCCCCAAGCACTGGGCCCTGAGGAGCACAAGCCACTTGACTGCACAGCTTGTGCCCCTGAAGCCATGCCTTCCCTGAGGGACAATCCCAGTCACACAACTCTCTCCAGCTAGATTGGGTCCTCCTGGCAAACGCGGGTCTTGGGACAGCCAAAATTAACGGACTCAGGGAACAAAGGACCTAATAAAACACTGGCCATAAGTCAATGACACCGCTTGCACTCTGTTATTGAAGAAGTTGGAGTACATATCATACTAGTTTTTCTTTGCCATGAAATACAAATTATAACTGGAGATAAATAATTTCCCCTGAGAAATAACAATCTCCCTTCCTTTCTCACTCAGCTGGTAAGTCTTATTGCTCAGACTGTTTTTCCATATGTGAGTTAATCTAAAGGGATACATGTGAAGCCTTTTCAGGCTTCCCTGCAGCTTATAAAAAATGAAAAATGTCTTTCAGATGTCATTTTGGGGGGTTATATTATTGAAAACGAGGCAGCCAGGTCCTTGTTGGGGTGATAGATGTTGTTTTCCAATAATTTTAAGTCTTTCACATCTCGGACAAGAGCTGAATATCATGGCCTTCCCAGTTAAGACAGAGATAGAGAGGGAGCAGATTCCTGCTTGGCGGTCTGTCACACACCTTTCATCTCCCATTTCTTCAGTGACCTCAACCTCTCCTCCTTAGGTAGTGGGAGGGGTGAGGAGAGTGCTTTAGCTGCCTGATATCTTATTTCACAGAACAAGCATTACACCTACCTTTTAAGATGCAGCATTGTGAGGCTATCTGCTGAAAAACTTGCATCTGTGCTGATGTTTTCCCTTTATACTTTGCTCAGTACTCAAGTAACAGCTACTAAGAAGTGGTACCAAATGTGACAGTGATAACAAACCCACGGATCATGCCATAAACCTCTTGCTCTGTGTACTCAAGAAAACCTGCCTGTTCACCTGTGATGGCCCTGCACCCTAACTCCAGGGGCGACCTGAGAATCGCCCACTCACTGCTCTCGGACTCGCACCCTGGCTGTGGCTCGGCCTGGGAGCTGGAAGCCCTGTGCTGAAATGCCAGAATACGACTGTGAGGAGACATGGATACTAACACATAGTAAGGCACCTTCCGTGGAAATAAAATTGAACATTTTACAAAGCGTCTTCCTATCTATCATCTGTCCTTAATTTTTTTAAGCTGTAGATGTTACTTTCATTTAAATAAATACATATTTCTGATAAATTTTTAAGCAGGGCTAATATTCTACCTTTTGTACTTTGGGGTATTTTTAAAGGCTAGTTCCATCTGAATTTTTACTGATCAGAGAAATCCCGCCTTATTGTTTACCCCCAAAGTAGACATTAGTTGACTGTGGCTAAAGGAAGATTCCACATAACTCTGTTTCCTCAGCAGTAGAAGGTTGATTCTCCAGCTCCTCACACCTGCTCCTGAGCTAATTGCTTTATTTATACTGCATCAGATGGTGTCTGGGTAACACGTACAGAAAGACTGAGGCCCATCTTTGCCAGGTCACCCATGGACTGCATTCCAGTCCTCTGAACTGTGAAAGAAACTCCGAGACTGATGGTGAAAACTCAGTGAGCTAAACCAAGAACCTTGAAGCCCGCTGACACCCAGCACCGCAGCCCAGTAAAAGCGAACCTGGGAAATTCATGCTGATGAGGGTGGAAGCGTGTCTCTCCTCTTGAAGTCATTTTCCTGTGCTTCTCGTTCTCTCCATTTCTGTAAAATGGAAAACCTGGCACTAAGCAGCCATTAGGCCTCCGCTCCCGAGCCGAGGGACTGTGCTCAGAGTGACTCTGCGGTGCCCCTCGCCTGCATCTGCTCTGAACGACTACCCAGGGGCCTCCCCTGCAGCATGGACTGAGAAGGTAAACCTCAGAGTTCCCGGTCCCTGGAAACCACTCCTTTGCCCAGCACTCACCTGGCTTCACTGTTGTTTGCAGTTTCACTGCCAGGATCAAGTTGTTTCATGAAAATGGTACTTTTTCTCTCCAAAACATTAACTTTACCATCATGTGGCTTAATTTTCAAATGACTGCTTCAGAGATAAGTTTTCATACTTCCCCGTGGTTACCAAACAACTATATACTGTACGATACCATCAAAGGTATTTGGCTATTTTTTATCCGTTGTGTTTATTTCCTTCTCTTAATCTGCTCATTTTTTTATTTACTTGTGAAGCTGAGTAGATTGTAATAATGAACTAGCAAACCACAGGAAAGCTTCATGAAAAAAAGACATTTTTCTTTTTTTTAAACTTTATTTGTTATTAGTACGTTTGCCATACTGTTGATCACATTCGTGGTGGGAAATTTGTGCCTCTACATGATGTATGTTAATTTTTTTCCCATTCCTCTCCCCTTCCTTCAATCTTTCTTCTCCTCCTCATTTACAAAAACTTTGTTTCCAGTTTTTCCTTCCATTCTCTTTTTTTCCTTTTCCCTTCCTTCCTTTCCCCCTTCTCCCTCCTTTGTTCCCCTTCTCATTTGAACATTTTCTTCCTGCTTCCCAATATCTGTCCTCTAGTATGCTCCTTATTTATCCTTTGAGTTTCTCACACAAGAGAAACAATGCACTATTTAAACTTCTGTGTCCAGTTTATTCACTAAACATTATGGTTTTGAGGTGTATCCATTTTCCTACAAATGACTCAAGTTTATGCTTCTTTATGGCAGGGTAGTACTCCATAGTACAGAAATACCACATTTTCTTTATCCATTCATCTTTTGATGGGCATATGGGCTGTTTCAGAGATTTAGCTACTATAAATTGTGCTTCTATAAACATGGGTATGCATATATCAGTGTCACATAATGTTTTAACTCTTTGAGGAAGATACCTATAGGGGGAACATCTAGTTTTTTTTTTTTTTTTTGAGGAATTTCCATACCCATTTTCACAGTGGTTGTACCAGTCTACACTCCCACCAGCAGCAGAAAAGGGTTCCTTTTTCCTTACAGCCTCACTAGCATTTGTTACAGGTTGATTTCTTGATGAATGCCATTTTTTTCTGGAGTGAGATGGGATCTTCGTGTTGTGTTAATTTGCTTCTGTCAACCAGTGATGTTTGGCATTTTTTCATATATTTATTTGAAGTTTGTACTTCTTCATCTGAGAAGAGTCTACTCATTTCAGATGCCCATTTTTGCATTGGGTATTTAAGTTTGGGGGGCTCTGACCTTTTTTGAATTCTTTATATATTCTAGATAGTAGTTCTTTGTCTGAGGAAGAGATACTAAAACTTTTTTCCCACTCTCTGGGTTGTCTCATCACTCTGTTGGAGATTTTTTTTTTTTTTTGGTGTATAAAAGCTTTTCAATTTTATGTGATCCCAGTTGTGGATTCTTCGTAATATTTCCCGAGTGATCCAGGTTTTGTTCATAAAGTCTTTGCCTATACCTATGTCTTCAAGAGTTTTACCTAGCCCCTTTTAGTTCTTCTGTTTTATTATTTATATCTTTCGTCCTTTTTTTTTTTTTTTTTTTTTTTTGACGGGGTTTCACTATGCAGTTCAGGCTGCCCTTGAACTCATTTTGGAGCCCAGGCTGGCCTCAAACTTGCATCCTCCTGCCTCCACTCCCCAAGTGCTGGGATTATAGGCATGTGCCAAAATGCCCAGCTTTTGATTTTAATTTAGTGTGTGAGGAGAGATACGGGTCTCGGTTTAATCTTTGGCATGTGCAAAGCCAGTTTTTCCAGCACCATTTATTAAAGAGGCTGTCTTTCTTCCAGTGAAAGTTTTTAGTTCCTTTGTTAAAGACAAGGTAGCTAAGTATGCTGGGAGTTGTTTCTGGATCTTCTATTCTGGTCCATTGAGTACAGGGGCTGTGTTTTGTTGTTGTTTTGTTTTGCCAGTACCATGCTGTTGTTGTTGTTTTTTTTTAATCACAGTAGCTTTGTAATATGACTTCACATTGGGGATTGTGATGCTTCCTGGCTTGCCTTTGTTGCCCAGAATTGCTTTCACTATTCTAGGTCTCTTCTGGTTCCACACGAATTTTTAGGATTATTTTCTCTAGTTCTGTAAGGTACGCTATTGGTATTTTGATTGGGATTACATTCAATCTGCATAATTCTTTTGGAAGTACAGCTACTTCACTATTGCGTTTCTACCTGTGCAAGAATGAAGGGTATCTTTCCATTTTTTGGTATCCTCTTTGAGCTCCTTTTTCAGAGTACTGTAGTTTTCTTTTTTTTGGGGGGGGGGGTTTCCTCCAGTACCCGGAACCGAACTCACGACCTTGCGCTTGCCAAGCAGGCGCTTTTGCCGCTAAGCTAAATCCCCAGCCTGTAGTTTTCAATGGATAGTTCTTTTACTTCCTTTGTTAGATTGACTCTTAAGTATTTTGTTTATCTTGATACTATAAAAAAGACATTTTTCTAAAGGGAAACTTTTGAAAGTAATCATGGAGCTCTTCTTTTTCCTTTAAAAGTACTAATCTGGAGCTTAGTCATCATTGTTTCATCTCTAACAACTGAAAGGCAGGGAACAGTGAACTGATTTCCTTGTAGAGCTCCCTGGAGAAAATAGGAATGTTGTGGAGATAAGCAGTGAACGACACTTTCTCTCCCTCTTGGGGGAGGGCTAGATTATTCTAGTCAAGTCATCCTCTGAAAATATGTAGGAAACCACATTAACACCCCTCATTACATTAGAGCAAGTCAGGCCAGGAGACAACAAAGCCCAAGCCCCACATGGGGCTTCTTGTTGCCCTGGAGACCAGTTAGAGGCTGAGCAGAGTACTGATGGTTTCAAGGGTCAGGAGGGACGAAACAGAGTTGGTCCCCTAAGGAAGGGTGCCCTGGAAATTCACCTGTGTCCATGCTGAGTATTCACTTTATATATAATTCCAGAGATGAGCAGCTACGAAGAGAGATTTTGTCTCACAGTTTTATAGGCTTCCCTCCATGATAGAGATCCCATTCCTTTGGGCCCATGGCAGCATGTGCTGATGGGAGTGTAAGGCCGAGCAAAATTGCAAAGGAAGTAAGAGATTGAGATTCCCTGAAAGAGGACAGCTCCAACCATACAGGGGCCACCCACCAGGCCCCACCTCTTCATGTTTCCATCAGCTCCACCCAAGCCTGTGCAACAGGGCCCAGTGGGGCACATTCCAGATCCAAAGCCTTGTGTGTGTGTGTGTGGGAGGGGTGGTGTTTGTGGCTCCACAGTGACCTCCCAGCAGGGAAGAAGAATTGGAAGTGGCTATCCACTGGCTTCCGGGGATCTACTGTAGTGGTCTCCAACCTTTTTAGCACCAACGATGGCTTCTTGGAAGACAGTTTTCCCACAGATAGCAATGCGAGTGGCTTCTGGATGAGTCGAGCACATTGCATTCATTGCTGTTTATTTCTGTTGTATTACATTGTGCACTTTATTTCCATTAGTACATTAGATTCTCATAGGAGTACACAACCTAGACCCCTTGCTTGTGCTGTTGACCGCAGGGTTCACATTCCTATGAGAATCTAATGTGCTTGCTGATCTGACAGGAGGTGAAGCTCAGGCGGTGAGTGAGCAGTGTGGAGGAAGCAGATGTAAATACGGAGGAAGCTTTACTAGCCTGCCCGCACAGCTCACTTCCTGCAGTGGAACCTGGTTCTTAACAGGGTCCAGGGTTTGGGGACTCCTGGTCCAGACACACTCAGTAAAAATGAAACAAACAGTTAACTAACAGCACTGAGTTTCTTGCCGGAAGAGCAGTACTAAAGGAAATACCAAAGAGTGGTCTTCCAACAGGGTGAAATGATGCCACGTGAAAGGACAGAGACAGGGAAAGTAATAGAATGCAAGTTAAATGGCAAATATGATCGTATAGGATAAAATTTAGTTGAAATTTTCCTGCTTACAAGTCTATAGGGGCAGAAAGTAGTCAGGGCCATGGGAGAGGGAGGAGGGGAGGGGACTGCTCATGAACACAGGCTTTCTGTCTAAGGTGATGGAAATGTTCTAACATTAAATGATGGTGATGGTTTTATGATTCTGAAAGTGTATGGAAATCCATTGACTTGTGTACTTTAAAAAGATGAATTTCATGAAATGTAAATTAGCTCTTGATGAATCTTTTTTAGAAAAAGAGAATAAATTATGGCTACAGTAGTAGGTAAAGTAAGATAAGACACATGGACTTGCAGTCATTAAATAAAAATTATAGGAAGCTCCTATGTAAGGCCCAATAGACCAAAGTAAAAATCAAAATGGAATCATTCATGCCAAAGCTCCAGTCACCAGACCCAAACTATTATTTGATCTTCCAAGAAATCATAAGAGAAATAACGGCAACATTTCCAAATGAGGGCCGTTTCAACTGGCATGACAAGGGTGTTCCCTCCATTTTAATCCTATGGAATAAGTACCCTGAAGTAAGCAGGGTACTTATTTGTCCGTTGTTCTGGCTTGTGTTATGATCTCAAGAGCAAAGTCACCTTTAAATGATCAGCCTACTTTTTGTTCTTCTGTTTCTCTTGTCATCAGCTTTCTCTGTCTATAAAACTAAATTCCTGCTCAGCAGATAAGAAAAGTATTTTCTTTAATAGGATGAAGTGTTGCATCATTCTAGAAAATTGTCAATCTAGATCTTTAAATTAAACTTTTTAGTTTTTTATAAATTGTTCTGATATCATTAAATTATCTGGCAAGAGGACAAGTTAGAAATTAATTGCCAGGCCACACAATTATGTTTTATGCATGTTGTATAGGAATGCCATATCTCTTGTCACACACATTTTTGAAAAAGAATGAGAAACATCTAAGCCAAGAGGGTTAAATCCAACAAACATCCATTTCTTAGCCAGTTCCTTTTTGAAGAACCCCTAAGAAAACAGAGACACAGTTTTCTAGTAGACAAAGAGCAGGAAGATAAAACCAAATGTCTTTTTCTTTCAAAGGCAGTAGTGAAATAAATAGGAGTAAATTCAGTTAAGACGATAAGTACAAATCACCTCAGTGAAAATATAGTTTTAAGTAATACAGCTGAGTTATATCAACAGTGCTATGACTTTACAAACGTTTCTCTGTTCCATAAGCTAACTGTTGTAAACACTCTCTCAGAACTTAAACTTCCGGTGCTATTCCGTGTTCCAGGAAGCAGAAGGGACAATTCCTATACAAATAAGGAACGAAATAGAAGAGAGATAGATAGAAAGCAGGAAGAAGTTCAAATACTTTCCCAAATTACATATACAATTGTTTTAAAAATATTTAAATATATATGTTAATTTGTTTCATTTATAGTAAAGTTTATCTTCGTTGAAAAGAAAGTCTTGAGTCATTATCTGCTGCTTATTCTTAAAAATCTTTTTAGTTTCTATTTTATACTGAGTAACTACTTTAAAGATAACACACAGTGTAATAACTATTGTTATTCTGTTATTATTTGGCGTGAAAATATGTTTTATTTTTCATAAAAAGAAAAATGTATATAGTATAATTATCTTTAAACCTTAAAAAGCTGAGTAACATATTTCATAGAACCTTACAGATGTCTGAGTGAAGTTGAATAAATACACACACAGGAGACCTACAGCAGCTACTGCTTCTGCGTTGTTACTCTGTCAGTAATGTTAACCCTGCCTTCTGATTTAGACCATCCCCACCTGCTTCCTCTTGGAAGGAATGTCCCGGGTCAGTTCTCTTCTACCCAATAGCTTTGTGAAATACAGCTGCAAATCTTCTAAAATCACCAAATAAGGGAAGTTTATATTTTTTTACTCTGAAGTTTCTCATCCCTAAGAGTTTTTTTTAACCTAACGTTAATTGATAACTATGGTTTAAGATCATTACTCTTTATTCTTCAAATATGAATGGAGAGTTAAAAATTTCCTTGTTTTCATGTTACATAGTTAGTTTTTCAATTACAGTGTCACTTTAATCTCAAAATGAATTTAGCTCTTTTAACATTCATTTTATCAAGCTAGCTGCCCAGCTTCAATCTGAGGGGCTTACCTTAACTCAGTTGAGATTGTTGGTATCTAAATTGCATCTCTGAAGAAAATAGTTCAGAAAATGCCAGTTCTGCCCCTCAGGCTTTGGCAAAAATGGAATCAAACATGGCAGGTGCATGCTGGGAGCTGCCGCCGGACAGGGCATGCAGCAGAGAGCACAATGGACAACGGGTTGTTCCCCAGACCACAGGTAAAAAAATACCAAAATCATTCAAATCTGAGAGCCAGAAAAATCAGTCTTGGAAAGAAATACCAGGAGGGGAGTCTGGTGTCTGTGCAGACAGGAGCAGGTCCAGGATAGCATTCAGCCTCCTGGGGCCTTGGGGAGCTCCAGCTTTGTGTGTGGAGGCTGTGGACCACACTTCTCAGATGCCCAACTCTTTCTGATGAGCTCATTCTGATGTGGACCACACTTCTCAGACGCTCAACTCAGCGAGATCAGTGGGACTGTGCTCTACCCAGGGAAGTCTGCACCCAAAGGGAGACTTAAGAGGGAAGTTTCATCTCACCGAAGAACTGGAATCAGAAGATTGGTCTTAAAAAAAATTAAACAGAAATGCCAAAATGTGTCAGTCTTGAGAAGTGAGTAGGAAGCAGCATCAGCATGAGATCATCAATGGAAAATAAGACAGGGGTGAGAAAAGGGGTTTAGGAAAACACTGTAAGAGTTCATTAGAAGAGAGTGATACCATATACTTAAAAAATAAATGTTTTTTCTATATTTGATAGTTTTATTTATTGTAGTATTAAACTTGAATTAGTATCATTTTAAATACTGTTTAATGTAAATAATATTGATATGATATATTCCAAGATCCAAATCTCATCAGTGACTCATGCGGCATGGTCCTTAATGCTGCTCCACAGTGATAATGGGGATGAATTTTGCCTGGTTCTGCGGCTCCTTCTAGAAGATTCCAGTGCCCCTGGGCATTGACCCTGTGTTTCTGGGGGTTAGGAGACGTGGGCCCGAGCAAGCATTGTTATCAGTACTTTACAGGAGGATTTCAATGCTTTAACAGTCTGTTTGACAGAGTTTTAATGAATTTTTATGTTTTTCTAAACTTTTTCTCATCACTGGCCAAAGCTGATTTTCAGTTAATAATCAAATGCTGGTGTTGCTTTCTACTCACCTCTCAAGAGTGATAAACTTTGGCATTTCTGTCTAATTTTTTTTAAGATCAACCATCTGATGTCAATTCCTCTGTGAGATGAAACCTCCCTCTTAGCACTCTTCCCTCAGGTGCAGGCTTCCCTGGGTAGAGCACTCATCTTTGAGCTGCGTCTCACTGAGCATCAGAAAGTGCTAGGCATCTGAGACGAGTGGCCCACTGACTGTGCACAGCGCTGGAGCTCCCTAAGGCCCCAGGAGGCTAAATGTTATTCTGGTGGTGACCCCAGAGCTTCATCTGCTCTGGTCTACCTGACTCCCGTCCTGGGCCAAGACTGATTCTAAGGCTTTGATTTTCCCTAGGAACCACATTTCACTGGAATGAATGTCCAGGAACTGCAAAATCAAGAGCAAATTATACTCTGAATGTGTACCTGGTTTGTATGCCAGCCACCATATAACAGGAATGATATCATTAGAAAACTGCCAGAAATATTTGACTTTATTTGAGAACTGGGCTGGGGCTGTAGCTCAGTGGTACAGCATTTTCCTAGTGTATGCAAGGCCCTGGGTTTGATACCCATCCACACACAGAAAGAAAGAAGAAAGTCAGACAGAAAGAAAGAAAGAAAGAAAGAAAGAAAGAAAGAAAGAAAGAAAAAGGAAGGAAGTTGGCCAAAGTTAGAAAAGTATCACCACAGCTAAAGCAATGGTAGTAGACATGCCAACAGCTCCAGACATCCTGTTAACTAGCAAGGCAGTATTGGTGCCCTGGCCGACAGTTTAGGATGCATTGGTCAGAACTCATCACTAAAGGAAAGGAAGCAGTGCCTGGATCTTCAAAGTGAGGCCAGAATGCACTCTGGGAGAAGGGTTCTCAGCTTGGGTTCACTAGTTTGGGATTACGTCTTGAGCGCTCCACGAAGGCTGTTCATCCTCCTGCTCTTACTCCTCAGACGTATGCAGCTGCATAGTTTGAAGTGTGTCCATGCAGACACTGTTGCTTGCCAGGAGCAGTGGTAAAGCAGATTCTGTTCTGTCTCTATTTTGAGATAACAAATCATCTAGGGATCATGACAATAGTAAAGATCTGGAGGAAGATTGCTTTTGTAGCCAACCTCTCAGTGAGCGGAAGGATGGCCGGTGTGGGGCTTTGAGAACTACAGTGTCACCACCAGTGACGTCTAACTGCAGTCCTGGGTATCTGCAGCCCACATACTCTTCCGCTTCAGGCAGAGCCCCGCCTTGCCTGTGCTGACCCCCGCCTTAGGAAACTGTCCAGAGGG